ACTGCTACTGCTACTGCTACTGCTACTGCTACTGCTACTGCTACTGCTACTAATAGTAAGAATAATAATAATAATACGACTACTATTATTACTACTACTACTACTACTACTACTACTACTACTACTACTACTACTACTACTACTTCTACTACTACTACTACTACTACTACTACTACTCGTCCGTCTCTCTTTCCCTTGTATCATACGCCGCTCTGTTAGAGTAGAGTCGGTTTCTTCTGCCGAATAGCAAATACTAGTATATGAGTTTTTCTTCTCTTATAATCAAAAGTGTAGTTTGTAATATGTTATCGTATGGTATCGTATAGTGTCTTCTCTTATGTTGTCTTCACTTCTCTTCTCCTTTCCCCTTCCTCCTCTTCCTCCTTCTCCTCCTCCTCCTCCTCCTCTTTCTCCTCCCACCTCCTTCAGCCAACGAGGGAGAGAGACACCTTCTCGTGGCAGGCTCGAGTGGCCAAGCCGGTCGCTCGGATAGGTCTTGCATGCGTGGCTCAGGCCTGATCTCTCCCATGCAGACACATAACTCTTTCCTGACGCACCCCGAGACGCGTCGGTGGGGCGTTTCGCCTGAGACCCCTTCACTGTTTATGACTCCGAAATTTAAAAAGATGTGCAGGGGCTTCATGGATGGAGGGCTGGTCCTTTTCAAAATGCCGCCCTCGCCTTAACGCCGCGCGCATTCAATCCAACCGCTTGCAAGGGCTTCACGGCTAGACGGCGGGTCCTCTTCAACATGTGGTTCTCGCCTTGGCGCCGCGCTCATTCTTTTTGATAGTTTGCAAGAGCTGCACGGGTGGATGGGGGGGGCCTTTTTCCACATGTGGTTCTCGCCTTGGCGCGGCGCACAATCGCCCGAACGGTTTGCAGAAGTTTCAGGGATGGTGGGCGAGCCCTTTAAAGCATGTGGTTTTTGTTTCAGTTCCGTGCGCATTCGGCGTACAAGTTTGCAAGAGCTTCGCGGATGGTGGGTGGGTAAGTTTCCAAATGTTGGTATCGCTTTAGCGCCGCGCACATACGTCCAACAAGTTTGCAAGAGCCTCACGGATGCTGGGCGGGTCGTTTTCAAAATGTGGTTCTCGCCTCAGCGTTGCGCTTCACGGATGGAGGGTGGGTAATGTTCAACAGTGGTTCTCGCTTTAGCGCCTTGCACAGTCGATTCAAACGTCTGCAGCCGTTTATCTGAATTCTTGTGGCTGGCGTCCCAGAAGCAGTGCTCTGGCACGCTTTAAAATCGTCAGGGCTGAACAGTCACGTTTGTTCGCGGAGTTGAGGTCCCAGGAAAAGGGGTCTGGCACGATACAGGAGCGTCAGGAAACAGCAGTAAACTTGATTGGCGGCCTATCAGTCCAAAGAGCTGTGTTTTGGCACGGTTGAGGATTCTCAGACGGTTGTCTCCCAACGGGACTTGCAGCAGTGAAAACTAATGCGTGTAGAATTCTATGAAGAGGGCGTTTGGAGGGAGTGCTTACTGCAACATCGTTGATGCGCTTTGGGTTTACACTGGTCCTCCTCTTCCCGCCTCCTCACGCCACCTCCTCACGCCTCATCCGCATGCTATATCCGCACGTCTCCTCCTCCTCACGGTTCTCCTCCTCCTCCTCCTCCTCCTCCTCTTCCTCCTCCTCCCGCCTCTTCACGCCACCTCATCGCGTTTTCTCCTTGCACCTCCTCCTCCTCCCGCCCCCTCCTCCTCCTCCTCCTCCTCCTCCTCCTTCTCCTCCTCCTCCTGCTCCTCCTCCTACTCTTCAGGCTTTCCGCTCTGATTTCTCGGGTCAGCGCCGAGTCCCCTTGGCGGCGCCTGGCGCGCTCCGCGTTCCAGGGAGGGGGTCGGCGCCGATCCACGAAATCCGCGCGGACCTTCGACATCTTACATTCATACCGCTACGTAGTATTGTACCTTCTTCCCTTCCCGAAGATTCCACAGGCATCTTCGGGTTGCTGGAAGTCCTCAAGAGCGACTTCGAGAAGCAGATATCGGCAACGCAGGACGCCGAGGAGACTGCGCGGGGAGGGGACCTTGGGGGAGAAGGAAGGTCATTTCTTTTGCTCCGTCCTCCCTCCTCCTCCTCATCCTCCTGCTCCCTCCCTCCCTCCCTCTCTCCCTCTCTCCGCCACCCTCTCCTTCACCCTTCTCTTGCCCTCCCTCCCCGTTCCTCCTCTCGCACTCCCCCCCGAGGAGACTGCGCAGGGGGAGTTTGACACCTTCAAGAAGGAGAACGAGAGGGACACTGGGGGCAAGGAGGAGTCGAAGAACACAAAGGACACCATGGTCGCGGAGAGCAAGGACGAGCTCGTCGAGCTGACGGACTCTCGCCAGGAGGCGGCGGAGAGCTACGACGTGGCCGTAGAGAAGCTGGACAAGGTCAGGAACATGTGCGTGGACACGGACGAGGCGTACGAGGAGCGGACCGCCCACCGGGAGCAGGAGATAGAGGCGCTGAAGCAGGCGCACGCCATCCTGGAGGAATGGGAGAGCCAGTGAGCGCAGCCAGGCCTCCCAGCTGGGGTCCGAGTGGATGGGGCCGGAGGATCGCGCCGCATCGCCGATGCATCGGCGATGCGGCTCGATGTAGAGCCCGATATTCTCCACGCCGACGTTGCTGACGCATCGCTGGCGTCGCCGCTGCATCGCTGGTGCTTCGGTGATGCATCTGCGATGCGGCGCGATCCCCCGACCCCATCGACTCGAACCCCGCTTGAGTGCAGGGGCGTGCGCTAGGTTCTGGGTTAGAGTCGAAGAATATTAACATGCATCCATCAACTTTCAGAGGTCCGCGCGATCTTCTTGGACATGCACTGGGCCCCGCTGGAGGCGACTCTGGCGCCTCAGGGTTCAGCGCTGGCCCAAGAACTCCGCGCAGACCTCCGCAAGGTTGTCGGCGCTTCCTTTCCTTCTAGCTCGGAGGAACGTAAGACTCGAGTACGCCAGAACTCGGATTTACCTACGCTTTTTGACGAGCGCGTCCTGGATTTTGGCGGTCCAGCTTTCGTGGGAGGTTTGCAGCGGGAGCTCGCGTCGAGTTCCAGATTGGGTCTCGTTATTTTCATGAAAGCCCCTTCAGGCCAACCCGACTCGAGTCTGACGTCTCCCCGACTAGCGAAAGCCGCTTCCTCGCTCCCTCCCCCTTGCTGCTGTTGCGAAGACCTCTCTGTCCTCGCCAGACGTCAGATGTTTGGTTTTGTGGTTTGATCAATTTCGCTTTGGTTTCGCTTAGGCTGGCTCGCTTGAGGAGGAGGGTCCAGTGAAAGGGGGGGATCGCGACGAGCCCAGAGAAAGGGGGCTCGAACGCGACGGCGACGACGATGACGACGACGGCCACGATTACGGCGACGACGACGCCGACGGCGACGATTACGACGATTACGACGATTACGACGACGACGACGACGACGACGACGGCGAAGACGACGTTGAGTCAAACAGAACAGCGTCTTCCACATGCCGACAGGGTCGGCGGATTACGATCTGTGCCGGCGCGGGGCCTCCGGAACCCCAGCCCTTTCCCTGGGGTCGGCGTTTTTCGATCCCGAGCCGCCCTGTTTCTGTTCTGCCCCGGGGCCCTCCGCAAGCAGCCCCCAGAAGACGAAACGAATTCTTCACGTACCAGGTCCGTAGCCCCTCTGGCTCAAGCCCGTCTCTGGGCCCTGGCCCCTCGGCCGGGTCTCCCAGCCCAAGGGGGTATCCCCTAGGAGTTTGTGGGCCGCGCGCTGCCCCCGGGCCGCGCTTCGGCCACATCAGACTCCCTGGATCACACCTCCCCCAGCGGCGCGGCGCGGCAGCCAGCCTGCCAGGTCAGGCTTAGCATGGATGGGAACCCGATCGGTGACAGATCTAGGATCCCTGGGAACCCTGCGGGTGAAGATGGAAGCCTAGTCGAGGGCCAGGGGGCCCACGTACTGGCTGGTTCAAGCCCTCCTCCCCCAGGATCACAGGATACCATCCCTCCAGGGCAGCCGTCGCCCCTCGCTCCTTGGGACCCTCCGGGCTCGATCGGTCCGATCGCGTCCGAGGGTCCCTTGATCGTACCCGTCAACTCAGCAGACACACGAGAACAATCGGCCTTCAGCCGGACGGAAGTTGAGGGTGCCACGGTGAACGCCGCGAGACACAGTGACATTGCGACCTTCAGTCGCTTCCCTGGGTTTGATATTGACAGCAATGACTCTTTCCCGCCAGATATGTTTCCCTCCCTTACCCCGACGCTTCCTCTGCCCCTGGCTGGGCGTCCAGTCTCCTTCTCTCCTGGCGGTGAAGGGCAGGACTGGATCGCGCGCGGCGATACCAGGACCACGGGGGGCCTTGACCCCATTCCTGATGAAGAGCATCCCCCGAGAGGCTCAGGCCCATTTGGGCCGCGCAGGAGCTCCCGCCAGAGAGGCGCTCTCGAAGATCGGCCCAGGAGCTTGACCGACGAGGGTGGATGGCCTATGCTTGAGGCTGCCCAGGGGGGTGACTGCGTGATGATGGGTGGGTGGACGGACCGCCGTCCGCTCACGTCCCCGATCCACATCCCATTGGCTCACGCCCCCACTCCGCCGACCGCCCTCCTTTGGACGCTTCAATATAGAGAGGAGCAGCCTTCAGCTGCGAAGGGGCCGATCCTTTGACCGTGGAGGCCGTCGTCCCGGTCGCACAGCCGACCCCTCCCACTGATGTGAGCCGACGTCAAGACGGCTCCCGCCTTCCGCCCGCCGCCTTCCCCCGGGCACGACAGTGTTGTACACGCAGAAGACGGGCCTTCAGCCCGGGGAGCGCCGTGCGAGACAGCAGGAGTGGACGAGCCTGTAGCTCGGGATTCTTTAAAATGGACAGATGGACGTTGACGGCGGCACGGCTGCCAATCAGCTCCCTGGTCATCCCTGTAACCCCGATGACTCCCGTCCTTCATCCGCCCCCCAAGCTGACAGTCACAGACGGGACGAGCCTTCAGCTCGAGTCTCCAAGGCGCATCTGACAGTTACAGAAGGGACGAGCCTTCAGCTCGAGAACCAGAGACGATGCCCATGGATGCCGAGAGCGCCGCGGAGACTGTGGCCATGAGTGGCGGCGGAATTGAGCCCCCAGCCATCCCTGGTGAAGCAACTCAGGGCCTCCCTCAGCAGGCGGACTCCCAGGCCAGCGGCGGGCGCACGGCCGACACCGCCGACGTAGTCATGGAAGCGCCAGGCTCCGCAACGGGGCCGACCCAGAGAGGACACGTCGAGGGTGGTGCGGCTGGCACAGCCGGCGCTACAGGCGATCTAGGTGGTTGCCGCCATGACACCGCCGCCCCCCTCCCTGGAGACATGGGCGCCACGACGGCAGCAGCACCCAGCCCCCATGTCGTCGACCTCACCGATGGGACTGGCCTTCAGCCATGAAGAAATGAGCAGGAAACGGTTGGGGTGGACGCGACGAGCATGCTGAATGCTGCGCTCGACAGGGGCTACAGAGCGGCGCGTCTCGCTACAGACAGCGCCGAAACGAACGGCCACGGCCAATCCTCCCTGGTAGCGACGACGGCTGTATCCACGGGTCGACCCCACACGTCCGACGCCAGCAGGGTCCCATCTGACCCTGCCCACGAAGTGGGCTCCCTGGTCGATCTGATCGATCGCATCGGACCTCCGATCGTCGTCGCTGGACCGCCCTGCGTCTCCCTCTCCTCGCCTACCCGCCCCCCCCCATCCACTCCTCTCCTGACCCTCCCCCTGGGTTAGAACATCCAGACGCCATTCCGGGCGGTAGTGGCCATGGCCGCGAAGACCCGTCCCAAGGGGTGGGCCGTGGGCCCCTCATCAGGACTGCCAACGGTTCTCCGTTCGCGTTGAGGCGTGCGGCTCCCAGAACGCCCAGTACGCCCATCCCACTCCCTTTCCCTTCTCCAGACCTAGCCCTGGAGGAGGAAGTTCGGATGGCGAGCCAGGATGCCCCCACTGACGCGGAGGATGGCACCAGCCAGGCCCATAAAGAGAGAGGGTGCAGTACGCAACCGACCTGCATGCTCGATGCATGGACGCCACCGGACACACGAACGCAGACTGGGCAGTCAGTCGGGAGACTGATGGACCCATGTGTGGGCCGCGCGTTGCTGACCCTAGGGTCACAGGCAGGGGAAGCACCATGAATGCCCTCCGTCGCCACCTAGTGCGCATTGACGGCCCCTGGCGTGAAACCCCCGACCGATGGGGCACCTAGAACCGCCGACCAAACCAGTAACCTGGAGCTCCTCACCCACCACGCGTGGAGGGGGCATCGCCCTGGTCATCCTGGCATACGGGAAGGCAGCCCCCTGCGATCGGCCCCAGATCTCAGCGAGCCACCTCGGCACCAGCCCTCGCCATCATGGACCTCTCCTGGCTGGTCTGGTCAGTCACAGGCGGAGACCACGAAGGACGCTTAGGGGGTACTCAACCTGATCCGACGCAGGTGCTAGCCTTCCGCTTCGCGAGTGTCACTCATGACCCCTGTGTAAGGTTGGAAAGACTGGGCGCGGACGACCCCTCCGTGGTGGAAATGCAACTAGCACGTCTCGAGTACGCCGTCATGACGACCGCAGCACACCATTGCGACATCGGGATGGAGCCTCCGAGCGGATACGACACGGACAACATGCTCTCGCCCACCAGGCCCCCCCGTGATGTTGCGCCACTGCACAGCAGCGGCCCCAACCGGCCAGACGGCACCCAAGACCCCATGGACGACGAGACCAGGGCGTACACGCACCGAGTCCTAATCCACGAGCGCAGGCAAAACATAGCTCACTTTCCGGACCACAGGGACGTCAGACATTGGGCCACCAGGAGGGGCAATCTCGAACGGGTTGGCGACGACGCACACTCGAGACAACAATCAGGTAGAGGCCCCGTGCCATGGGCAGAGCCAGCTCTAACAGGAGTAACGGCCAGCACAACTGGCATCCCCGGGGTACCGATCCAAGGTGGCGACAGAAATGACAATGCGTGGCCCTGGTCCACCACGGCGCACCGCCTGCTGCTACGGGATTTCTCTTGCCCGACTCAACGGTGCGACTTCTGCGGATCGTGGATGCTTCGAGGCCCGGTGGGCCGACATTGCATCACCTGCCAGAGGTTGGCCAACCCGTGGAGCTACAGCGAGGGCGAGCAGCAGTCGGGCGACCCCCACCAGGTTCACCCCCGCGCGGAAACGGGCCAGCCACTCAACAGGCACGCCCTCGACTTCCTTGATAGCACCCTGCAACTTCAGCTGGTCAGAGCAGGCATGCGATACGCCCCAATCGCAGAGCATCTCTACTTTCCAGCTCAGCCGGGCCCCCGCGGATTTTACCCCGACCTGGCTCGTGGGCGAGCTTCTGGGAGCCTGGAGGCACATGGCGCCCCAACCCGACACCTGGGCCAACAGCGGCTTCATCGACAGAGCGGACCTTGGAGATGAGATGCAACTGCGCCCAGCAGTGGCCACCCTTGCGCTGCTTTGCTCCGCGCCAGAGTCCTGGGCCCTTGAGGCCTGCTTAGGAGTAC